CTTATCCCAATTGGCAAGTTTAAAATTACGTTTTTTTACTAGCTCAATCGGTTCTCCGTAATTAATTATGAATTTAATGAATAAGTGGTCGCTTCCTAAATTTTCATTCATAACTCTCCATTGAAAATTCACCGAAATATCGTGAGACACAAAAGTTATATCCGGGGAAGATCTTTGTAAATGGTTATTGACTAATTTTAATCTCGTAGGTTGTCCATCATTAAGACAGGAGAATCCATACTCTAAAGCTGCATCATAGATTTTATTACCTCTGGAATCATTTTTGTATGACCAATTGGTATGGTGGGCATTGAGGTCTCCAGCAATAATAGACTTGTTTCTGAATCTGGCGAATATGTTATCCCAATCCACCTGTGTTGTTATAATAGAACTAGGGCAATAAACTAATGTGATGTAGTTTATGTATTTGCAATTGAGAAGTTTGATACATAATAGCTCAATACCTAAGTTGTTCACATTAACATTTAACTTTTGAATTTTGATTGACTTGTGTGCTATAATTGCAACTCCGCCGTATGAGTCTTCCCTGTCTTGTCTAAAGATATTATATTGAGTGATATTTAAATTTGACCCCGACTCCAGCCAAGTTTCACTAACCAGAGCAATGTGTATCTTTTCTCGCTCTAATAATAACATAAAATCGTTAAGTTTAGGTCGCAAACTCTGTGCATTCCACTGTATTATGTTCACATTTATGTCTTTTATGGAACTATCCATCTTTTAATATTGAAAAAACTTTAGTAAATATATCGCCTGTCTTAAATAATTTCACAACATAAGAAATAAATTCCTCAAAAACGTAAGTACAAATGAGCTTCATTTTAACTTCTAAACTACATTCTAATAACAATATTTCATTTAATTTTTGTAATAATTTATCAAAGTTAATCTTGCTATCTGATATTTTATTTCTATTACTTTGAGTCTGCATGTCTTCTTGTTGTACCTGTTCATTTTCAATGTGACTGGTATAATTATTATTTTGCAAGTGATCGCTTTTTTTTTTTTGGACTTCTTTTTCCTTTTTTGTCCCAAAATTGTAGACTGCACGGATTCCTCTGTGCTTCTTTCTCCTTTGTCCTCATTTTCCCTCCCATGAACTGCAGTAGAGTCAATATATATCTGAGGCTGAGTTAATAGAGCGTCCCTATATGTTGTTTTACTAATTGGATGAGTATTCTTCGTAGTGTTATCAATTTCACGCTCAGCATCATAAAGTTTTCGTTGAGTTTTGTCGTTATTCAAATATAAAAATAATGCTCTCCTGTAGGTACAATTGCTTTCACACATAATTTTTCTTATTTCCTTTTCTTTTTTAAACATTGGACATGATTTATCCAATGCCATGTGAGATCCTTTGCAATTGATACACTTAAAATTATTTGCCTCGCAATTTATATGGTTGTCTCCACATTTTGGGCACCGTATCACCTTTGTTGGACATGCTTTAACCAAATGCCCAAATCGCCAACACCCAGAACACTGTGTTACAGGAAACGTATATGGTTCTACTTTAAACCGACACCCATATATAAGTACATACGGTGGTAGAACCGAACTTTTAAAACAAATACGAACAGTTTCACTGTCAACCCATTCTCTTAAATTATTTAGTCTTTTTAATCTCCTTACAGAGATTATCTCGCTATCGCATACTAAATTATTATGTATTTCATCCATCTCAGTATTTAAATCTACTTGTTTTATTACTCCATATAACAAACTGACTTCATCAACAAACTGGCACCTGTATCCTAATTCTTTAAGTTTTAAGCAATTAATTAATTTGACGGCATTCTCCCTGTCTTCAAATTCTATTATAGCTTTATATGCATTTTTAAATTGTACCTTCTTTACATTAATAATATCTTCTGAAATTAATAATTTGGCCATACCAAATTGTTTGGGTAAACTTTCCTTTCCCGTTATGCTAACTAGGTTAACTCGCTGTATATTTTGTTCTTTATTCATTATACTATGAGTCAACCATTGTTTATCTCGTCTCCTTTTTTCCTTTCTTACAGTGATAAAGCCATCGTCTGCTTCAAAAATTTCCTCACTATCATCCCGGAATCTTTTTTCAGGGCCTTTTGGAACCTCTGGTATCACTCTTTGTCCACTTATGGACGCTTGTTGCTCGTGTTTCTGCACTATTTCCTCTTCCATTATATCACTTTCACTTAAAACTTCACCACTTAACACATTATCCATATTCGGTTAACATTGACATTTATGTGGGTAGAAAGAGATATTTCTTTATGACAAGTCACAACGAAACTTAACTATTAAATTGACACGTGCGTTCACGTCGACGTCTCGCACGAAACTCTCACAGTATTTTTAACATCGTCATAATTTAAAGATGCTATCTATACAAACAATACTACCTCATGATTATTATATAACTAGATAAGACAGATAATTTATGTAAATGAGGAAAAGGAAAAGCCCCAAGAATAGACCCCTGCTGGTCCTGTATATTTACCAGGGCCCCGGGAGGTGTCTTGCCTTTCACGTCAACTCTCTGAATTCGATGGTTCATCTACTAGAGGAGTACTTCAAGGCTCTTTATTTAGCCCTATTCTATTTAGTATTCACAGCCGATTTACCAAAGTGTATAGAGTCCTATGATGTGATGTGTTCTATAGCCGTGATAGCTCAGTGTCCGGGTCGCCTTTAATTAAATATACTCGGGCAACCTGAGTTCGATCCACGGTGCCGGCAATAATGAATTTTTTAAGTGCTGAATTATCATGTGCTCAGCGATGAAGGCAACATCGTGAGGAAACCTGCATATTTTCGAAATAATAAAGTAAAAAAAAAAGTAAAGTAACAGCCTATACATGTCCCACTGCTGGGCAAAGGCCTCTTTTATACAGAGGGTATCAGGTAGTGTTGCACAACCATCGATAGTTTGACTATGACTATCGATAGTTGACCTCGAAAACTATTCAGGATATCGATTGTACTATCGATAATATCGTCTAAGTCAATACTGTCGATACTACCGATAGCACCAATAGCTCTCCAAGTGCCAATACTATTGATAACAGCAATACAATCGATAGTAATGCATGCGATAGTATCGATTGGTAGCAATTGGTAGTACAAAATCATCGACAGTTTTTGTCAAAAACTAATGGCAATTGCAATACTATCGATACCATCCATACTATCGCATGCATTACTATCGATACTATCGATAGTATTGCTGTTATCAATAGTATTGGCACTTAGAGAGCCATCGATACTATCGATATTATTGACACGTGACAATACTTTCGATAGACTATTGATACTATTGCTTTTACCTTAACTATCGATAGATAATCGATTGTCTATCGATAGCAGACTATCGATATGCAACACTAGTATCAGGGTATATTCCACTACGCGGCCCCAGTGCGGATGGGCGGACTTCACATATCTTCGAAAAATATTTTTTTTGTTACTGGCTGTTTTTGTTTAACTGATACTTTACTTTTATAGTCCTGTAAATGTCATATATGCTGACGACACACAACTATACTATTCATTCCCTTGCTAGGAGGCTGAAGCAGCAATCAAGAAAATCAATAATGACTTGAAAAATATTTACAACTGGTCCAAAGTAAACTCCTTGATATCAAATCCGACGAAATTTCAAATGTTTGTGCTGGGGACGAAACATCAATTAAAAGAGACAGTGAATTGTGGAGTAAAAGTGAAAATAAATGACATAGTACTTTAACAAGTAAACTGCACGAAATCTGGGACTTATTATAGATGGGGAACAAAAATATACAGAACACATAAACAGTAAAGTTAGAAACGCCTTTTATAAATTAAAAAAACACTATACATTTTTTTAATATGAAAAGTTGCCAAACGGGCAGACGGTTCACCTGATGTTAAGTGAATACCGCCGCCCATGGACATCTGCTACACCCGAGGGTTACAGATGCGTTGACAACCTTTTAAAAATTGGGCTCCTGCCACGTCACTCAACAGACGAAACGTGAAAGTATTATACTTCCACTTTACGCCGGTCTTCTGTGAGGTCGTGGTACTAACCCGGACGAGCCTGCCCATTCGTGCAACAGCCGAGGCTGCTACATGGCTCTACCACCGTTCCCTTGTGAAAACTTCCCGAACCAATCTACAGTGTATGATGAATCTTCTTCTATGTAATTCGCCTGTTTTCTTGAATAAAATTTTTCACTTCACTTTCACACACTTCTGTAACAGCCGTCGAAGGAGGACCAGTTTGTCCATCCCCTAGAGTTAGACGACTGCGTTTAAATTCGTTATGCCAACGGTGGATGGTTACTTTTGAAGGTCCTTCATCCATCCATGCCATGTGAAGACGATCAAACGAATGGTCCGGTTTTAAGCCACTTTTGAAATGGTAAAAAAATCATCACACGAAAGTGTTCCCTATCTATGCAAATCCATTTTTACATGAGACACGATAATTCAACTTGGTTCTCAAAAAATGTGAAAAATTAAAAGGATATTTAAAATTCGAACAATTAGGTCGTAACAAGTTAGGTCGGGGCCTAAAATATAAAGATTTTTGCAAAATTATCTGAGTGACCTGTTAAGGGAGTCAAACATTAAAAAAAATATACATAAACGAATTAACATTTAATTCAGATAAAGTAACAGTATGTAATATAATTTTATCATATTGACCCTAATTAAAACTATCACATAAAAAACAAATTTTAATTATTAAAGGTAATAAGTGAGTATTGTTACATATATTACAAAAATACTTGTAGATTATTAAGTAATAAAAAATGTTATAAAATACAATTTTTGGATCGTCAATTCTGAAAAATTGGTCCAAGTTAAAACTATAAAGGATTATTTACAGTTACCTGTACGGGTACGACCGTATGTACTAATATTAATTTCAAACTGGAATTAGTTACGACGTAGTTGGTCCCGCGTCATCTGTTAGTGTCGGTGAGTATTGAGTAAGATGCGAGCGGCTAGCAGCAGAGGGCGCGCTGCGCGTCGCCGTGGCGGAGGGGCGCGGGGGCGCCCCCCCACGCGTCGGGGGGCAGCTCTTCGGGGGCGCGGCGCGGGGGCGGGGGCGGGGCGGCGCCCTCCGGCGCGCTGTAGCAGCGCATCGCGCTCTGCGGGGCGCCCGCCGCCACCAGCAGGGCGCGCGCCGTCTCCAGGAACACCTGCTCGATGCCCTGCTCGCATATATCGCACGCTCAATCCGCCACCCTCTCGACGTTCCACATTTTAAATATATAAATGTTAATGAAAGCTCCAGAAAATATCAGAATGAGCTTTACGAATGATTCGATCCAATTGCAATGATCGAACACGAACACTTTTAAATAAAGATGAGGATGGACAAGTATGAAGGGCGCAGGTGCAACCTGGTCGTGCAGCGCGGAGGTCTCCGCGTAGGCGGCGCCGAGCGTGGCGGCGAAGCGCTGCGCCTCGGAGGCGGCCACTGCGCGCGCATCGGCCAGGTCCGCCTTGTTGCCCACCAGCGCCAGCACCAGCGGCTCCGGCACGTTGCTGCGGCGCGAGGGTGCAAGTGCGACAAGTTAGTCGTTTCGACGCAGGCCGCGATGGGATGGGGGAGGGGGGGGGGGGTGTACCTCTGCAGCTCCTTCACCCAGCTCTTGATCGCGGTGAAACTGGACACGCTGGTGATGTCGAAGACCAGCAGTGCGGCGTTCGCGTTCCTGTAGTACATTGGCGCCATTGACCGGAAGCGCTCCTGGCCGGCGGTGTCCCAAACCTGCAGCGACACATTCCCCCCCGTTTATCAAAACAAGGTAAAAATACCATATCGACTTTAAGAGGGGGGAAGGATTGAAGGATATAGCTGCAAAATATTGTCCACAGACATTGGCCTTGGCCGAATCGTCCTTGTCGATGTTTTTAACAAAAAGGAGACATTCTAATCAAAAAATCGTATGAATTATATTTATATATATATATATCTATATACAGGCCCACTTCTACTCCATACTTAGAACGAGCTTAGGATCGGAGTTTTATGACGCAACGTAGAAGTGGGCGATACAAATCGTATCAGATATGAAAACTATATATTAGTACAATATCTGAAAATAGCTTACTAGCTCGTTCAAAATCTATGTATTTTACAATATCTGATATTTCCGAAATCTGATGTACCGAATACTCGCTCACTCGCTATACCAACACGAATCGCGATACCATACGCGTTTGCCACAATATCAGATTTTATGAATAAGTTAAGTAATTTTGAATCTTAACATCATGCAAATAAGATCCGTTCCATTTAAATTATTGTCACAATATCAGATTTTTAGAAAAAGCGCGTGAGACACAAATATTCGCTAGTTAGAGCAGTACGGCAACAATATCAGATTTTATGAATAAGTTAAGTAATTTTGAATCTTAACAACATGCAAATAAGATCCGTTTCATTTAAAATTTTAAATTATTGCCACAATATCAAATTTTTAGACAAAGCGCGTGAAATACAAATATTCACTGGTTAGAGCACTACGGCAACAATATTTTTTTTTTATGCTAAAAGTTGCCAAACGAGCAGATGGGTCAACTGATGTTAAGTGAATACCGCCGCCCATGGACATCTGCTACACCCGAAGGTTACAGATGCGTTGACAACCTTTTGAAAATTGGGCTCCGGCTACCTCACTCACCAGACGAAACGCGAAAGTATTTGTCATACTTCCACTTTACGCTTCTGTGAGGTCGTGGTACTTACCTGGACGGGCCTGCCCATTCGTGCAACAGCCGAGGCTGCTGCGTGGCCCTACCACCGTTGGAATATCAGATTAGAATATCAATATCAGATTTTTAAACAGATTTCGAGCGACATAGCGCGTGAGATACAAATATTACATTAATTAGAGCAGTACGGCAACAATATCAGATTTTTAAACCGATTTTATGAATAAGTTAAGTAATTTTGAATCTTAACATCATGCAAATAAGATCCGTTTCATTTAAATACTAAGGATGGTATCAACGATTACGATATATTTTAATTCTTTTATTTAGCATTAGCCTTGAGCCGTAGCGAGCGATAAAGCGTGTGAGATACAAATATTACACTAGCTAGAGGGGTACGGCAAACAATGCACAATATCAGATTTTCAAACAGATTTTATGAATAAGTTAAGCAATTTTGAATTTTAAAAGGATGGAAAAAAACTCTGTTTCATTTAAATACGAATTATAGTATTAACGATGTCTTTAAATTTTGTTTAGCCTTGACCTGGAGTGCATTGATACTTAACCACGTAATAGTAAGGGATGCCAACTTAGGAATTTTCTTCCTAAATTAAGGAAGAAAAATTATTAGGAGCTAAATTTTATTCGCATTTTTGAAAAAACAAAATAAAACTACACAAAACGAAAAAGAAAAATAAAATTTAATAATTCCGTGCTGCATTGGTGGACGTCAGGCCAAGGCTTATGTCTTGTGTGTATATTTAAAATTCTTCCGCCCTAAACTATAATATTGAATGTTATTATTAATAAAAATATTGTCACTAACTTATTTTATAAATTTAAGGTGGATACGTCAACGTAAGATTTCTAGATCAGTGATTCTCAACCTTTTTTTTTGTTGCGGCACATATTTAACGATTTCAAAATTTGGCGGCACACAAAGAAAAAGATATAAATTATTTACTTACTACAACACACTGAATAAATAGTTTATAACAATTTTTTTAAATATACGAAATAAACTAATATATACTACGAATAATATATACGCGAAGAAATACAGACACAGTGCGCGTGCAGCAAGTCAGCACATAAGCTCGGGATTCCCCGTGAGATGTGTACACAGCGCACGTGTTCAATCACAGTAGCATTTAGTAGAGTGCGATAAAAACAAAAAAAAACTTATTTGGAAAACCGTGTAAAAGCGAAAACATGTAAAACAAGTACCGTGTAAATAGGGAGATAGGTGTACTGCAAAGTTAATAAGTTTACAAATTTATAAATTGACACTACATGCAAATAAATTAATATTAAACCGAATCACATACATTTAACAATTTTAACGAAAGAAAAGGTGCAGTAACTACTATGCAACACCTTGTGAATCCCAACTATCACTAAAAAAACACGTTTTGTACGCAGAAGTGGCAAGTGTGCGCCGACTTGAGACATATTCCTATTGCTATGCACGCCGCTTCATCATAATTTGGCACTAAGAAAAAACGCGTTGCAAAGCAAAAAATAAAATTTATTTTTTTGTGGATTTAAATATATATATTCATGTTAAAAATATTTTTCTTTTTAAATGATATAATTTAATAATATTAACATTATTATATATTTGCAAAATTTGGCGGCACACTTTTGAAATTTGACGGCACACAAAAGTGCCGCGGCACAGTGGTTGAGAATCACTGTTCTAGATATTAAAATACATAGTTTCGAAATCTGATATTTGAAATCGAAATCTGATTCAGATACGGTTCTCAGAAAAAGCAATACGACCCATCTCTAACGCAACGCTTTGAACGCCCGAAGCGCTTAGTTTTGTTTGTGTGCGTGTACACAAAATTTAGGTATTTATGAATGATTACCGCATTGTCAACAAGTTCTGTTTCTTAGGGAATAGTATGGCAATTTTTTTGAAAAATAAAAACTTGTTTTTATTTCAATAAACGACTATACTACCTAGTCGGAACTTTCTGTGTAAATTTGGGCACTTCTTGTAAATTCTCCCTGTATATATGCATTAAAATATTTATAAAAAATTCATTTAAATCGGTACAGTCGTTTAGGAGGAGTTCAGTGATATACACACGTACAGAAGAATTATATAAGTATATAAAGAAGATATAAATAGAAGGTCACATACACAAACAATTAAGTGTAAATAATTTCAAACATCTTGTATAAGAGTTTAAAATAAGCCTATATTGAATAAAGAAACTTCGGCTTTAAGAAATGTATTTTCAGAAGGTTCCGGACAAAGTAGATATTAAGTGGCCTCAGCAAAGTGTCCACATTCATCCTGGGGGGACTTTAACGCGACGCATTATTTTACGCATAGCCATTCTGTCATAGATGACAGAATGGCTTGTTAACTACAGACAGGTCAACCCAATATAATTACTTGGTTAATTTGCCTAGCACGGATAAGTGTTATAATTAGATCAACTCGATGGGCAATTGGACTAAAAGGTCGCTATCCCCACCTGCAACTTGACGCGTGCCTCCTCGAGATTGATGTTACAAGTGAAGAAGGAGGCACCTATGGTGGGCGAAATGTGCTTCGAGAACATCTTGCCAATGTATCGAACCACCAAGCTGGTCTTTCCGACTCCTGAAATTTTATTAGACATTTGAGAATCTTGACTCCATATTGCGGATTCTGTTACAGCAAAAATAAAAATAAACATGGTATTTGAAACGTCGCATGATAAAAGGTGTTATGATGTTTGCATTAATATGTCACAGTGCATTTGTTTTGACTAACACAGTGATTCTCAACCTTTTTTTTGTTGCGGCACATATTTAACGATTTCAAAATTTGGCGGCACACAAAGAAAAAGATATAAATTATTTACTTACTACAACACACTGCATAAACAGTTTATGACAATTTTTTTAAATATACGAAATAAACTAATATATACTACGAATAATATATACGCGAAGAAATACAGACACAGTGCGTGTGCAGCAAGTCAGCACATAAGCTCGGGATTCCCCGTGAGATGTGTACACAGCGCACGTGTTCAATCACAGTAGCATTTAGTATAGTGCGATAAAAACAAAAAAAAACTTATTTGGAAAACCGTGTAAAAGCGAAAAGGTGTAAAACAAGTACCGTGTAAATCGGGGGATAGGTGTACTGCAAAGTTAATAAGTTTACAAATTTATAAATTGACACTACATGCAAATAAATTAATATTAAATCGAATCACATACATTTAACAATTTTAACGAAAGAAAAGGTGCAGTAACTACCTTGCAACACCTTGTGAATCCCAACTATCACTAAAAAAACACGTTTTGTACGCAGAAGTGGCAAGTGTGCGCCGACTTGAGACATATTCCTATTGCTATGCACGCCGCTTCATCATAATTTGGCACTAAGAAAAAACACGTTGCAAAGCAAATAATAAAATTTATTTTTTTGTGGATTTAAATATATATATTCATGTTAAAAATATTTTTCTTTTTAAATGATATAATTTAATAATATTAACATTATTATATATTTGCAAAATTTGGCGGCACACTTTTGAAATTTGACGGCACACAAAAGTGCCGCGGCACAGTGGTTGAGAATCACTGGACTAACATATCACATGTACATGAAAACAATTCTACTAAATTAACTATATCTAGATACGAAACCATAAAACAAACTATGAGATTTTGCGTAGATAATCTCTATTTTTCATTACATTCTTGTGTCTTTAAGTTTATTCCATTCATTTCACCGAAAACTGTTTATAAACCAATAAAAATAATTAATTAACTGTAAAGAGAAGGAAATAAGAAACCGATGGAATTTATTAAAGGTTGTCAATAGAAAAGCCCTTCTTGAAGCTCTTTGGCATCATAAAAAAAGTTTTTAACTGCATGCAAATAATTAATTACAATAAAATAATAAAAAGTCTGGAAACGGATACAAATAATAAAATTATGAAAGTGCCATCTACATTCTTTATTGAGAACTGTAACGGTGGTTTTATTGTATACTACCATAATTTAAAAAAAAATGTACCTCATGGTATTCCTAAATAAAAAAAAACCAGATTGTTATACTATGAACCTTCCACAAGAGAGCTAATTCCTACCCGGCCGAGCTAATTCCGGCTGGCAATGCATTTGTGACTACTATGGTGTGGCAAGCGTCCATAGATGGTTGTAAACACTGATCATCAGGCTTATTTGCTCATTTGACTTCTTTCCATAAATAAAACCTATCTCAAAGAAACAACATAAAAATGTTAAATTTAATTGTCCTTCTTAGTAACATGGAATTGAATTTTATGTTAGATATTCCAATATGATAGTTCACCTAGGCTAATTATTATGATTAACTACGATAAAAATTATTTAAAACAGTTGCATTAAAATTGTCGTAATCGCTATAAACAGATTATTAGGGTTACCAATAAAGGTAAAAATTCCGAACAGTATGTCTCGTTTTTCAAGCTAGAAAAAAATTTTAATCGATAGAGAAATGTTAATAATTAAATATTACATCCGTGAAAACCAAGGCAAACACTTACTTTTAATAAAAAAAAATATTTAAAACTTGTTATTTTCACTAAATAAATGTGCCATTTTGTGTTTGACAACATGTATAAATTTACGAATTCACACACTTTTCCAAATTATAACCTTCGCATTATTAAAAAAAGTCTTTAAAAATACTAAAAGTTCTGTTACACTAAAGTTTTCTGGGGGGTCATAAAAAAAAACCTAACAACGAAGGCTAAGGAGCGAAGCTCCCGCCTTAACCTTCTAACCTAACCTATCTGAGTCGGATCGCTCTGTGTCAGATCTGTGACTCATTTTGAACCTAATATTCGAGACATTAAGTGTACACTAAGTCACAAATTTTAAATATTAGAAATTGTTAATAATACATGTTCATGAAGTAGAAACTGGTGTTTTTGTGATATATCTGTGTATTTGTGTCTTCTTACAACGTAAAAAGTGAAAACGTAAGTTTTTAACTTAAAATAATAGTCTATAATGAATAATGGACGCACAGTAATCACGGATTTCAGTTGTATGAAATTTAAAACTTTGTTAATTTTTTCCTCATAATCTAGTGGTTTTCATTGATTCTAACTTATATAATATTTAATTATTAACATATCTTAAAATGTTCTCAACTCTATAGATTAAAATTTTTTTCTAGCTTGAAAAACGCGACGTACTATTCGGAATATTAGCCCCAATAAATCTCATTGTGTGCATTCTTTTTACAAATGATTCATTGATTTAAAACTGTAAAATATTTTTAACAATAAAGCATTATCTAACAACCTTTTGTACATTTACAACACAATAAGTGATAAACCTTAGCAAGTATTCATTAACCTGCTTATTTCCTGTATCGATAATTTATAACTGGTTTGGTAACAAACACGTATCATCGTAATTGTTACATTCAAATACCTAATTCATTTCGAAATTCGTACCTTGGGAACCCAACACAACGATTTTTGCTTCTATAACCTTCATTGTTAAGCAGCATTCCGTGTACACGACGGGTACAAATAAAAATTACACTGAATATTTTAATTACATTATCCAGTTCAAATATAAACAATTATTCATTGTCGAATTTGCAATTAATGAAAACTTTATGTCTACGCTTCCCCACTGTAATGACATCACTGCGAGTCCTGACGTCTGACGTCTGCTGTCTGCCGTCTGTCTGACACTGACAGAGAGCAGACTGTCTGTATTAGAGATGCACCAGTTTGAAGAAACTGGTGAAAAACCGGTTTTTAATAGAACCTATTAATAACCGATAACGGGAACCGAGCATCCACATTAAACATTCTGCCAATGTATTTGGAAACTGATGCTGACGGACAGAAGACGACGGCACATTTTTGGCTATGAATACTAACTTAGGGTCTTTAAATAAAATTGCGTTTAAACATTTGTCGTTGCCGGCTACTTTTGTCCCTTTGAGAGGATATTCTTTACGTCTGGGTACGTCCTGTCTTAAAGCCGGCTGCCGGATGACGGTGGAGACTTAGCTTGAGCTTTATTTCTTATACCAAAATTGTAGTTTATGATAATAAAGTTTTTTAAAAATATAATAAAGCATTTTAATTGCACCCACAGGACCCACCAAACCCCTATAAATATTTCCTGTTCCTTCCGTGCCTTATCGGCGGTCTTTGGGCATAATTTCTTTAGTGCAATAAGCTCTTTTTACAAAACTTAATAAAAACCTTAAAAAAAAAAACGGGTTAAAACCGGTGTGTAAAATTGAAATCGGTCTAGAGATGTCTAGTCTGTACCAGAGTCTGATGTCTGTCTCATACCAGAGTTGTCTTATTCGATATTCCAGACTGCCGTATTTATAAATAAAAGTAATGAAATTGCCATATCATTTGCCTACTGGTACAGCATTTATGTGAAGAAACTGCTTGTGAATCTGTCTATAGGAAGGCTCCTAGAGCATATTTCAATAAAACATACTTGTGTTATTTGATTTCTATGTTACCGCCTTGATGCCAGCAGGGGGCGCTGACGTCTATAATGCAGTGGCAACCAATAGCTAGTAGCTTTTGTGAATTTTTTGTTGTGAGCCAAATATACAGCGTATCGTTACCAGCGCGACAATAAATGAACACACGTCTAACGCTACTTGCCAATAATCATAAAAAAATATTAACGTTAAAAATCCAGAATTAAAAAAATATTTTTGAAACAAACTAACTGAGTAAAAAAGAAACAAAATTTGTAACACCCTATACAACTACAACTGACTGATTCATAAATTCAGAGACTTTTTGATTCGTTGCCACAGCGTCGCATTACAAGCCGCTCCTTATAACAGTATGTTTTGTCTCTTTTAAATTTATTCAACCCTATGCTTTGTGACCTTTACAAATGAACTTTACGTTACAGTTTTATACGTAAGGGTGTTCTAAAATTCTTTGTTTTGGAAAATTTTATAACTCGGTTATATATATATATAGTCCTCCTCATCGATTTCGATGACGGCGACCCTAGCAATTACGGATTTGCCCTATCCATAAGTTTGGCCTAGCCAGCCATATCAGAACTCACAGCTCTGATATAGCTGGCTAGGCCAAACTTAGTCTTGAAAACTCTTTTACACGGGGAACAGTAGAGTAATATTGATGTTTAAAGAATGAAAATGTTTAATACAATTATAAAAGTTATCCTCTATATGTGTGTTCATTTATTGTCGCGATTGTAAAGACACGCTGTATAAAACTTTAATAGTTAGTGTTTAAAATAATTTAAGTGTTGGTAAAAATAAGCCAACTCATCTGTTAATAATAACATCGTTATTTAATAATGTATGGTATATCTAACTTACGAAATATTAGTATACTTTTTGAAAATTGATCCTAAAGATGATTCTGAGGTGCCTGTCGCTGCTCCAGATCCATCTGGCATCAGCTCTGAAGAGCGGAGCGCCTGGAGCTCAAGCGTCTCGCAGAGTAGTGCTTTCTCATGTTCGAGAGACGAGGAGGGCATTGCTTCACCGCCGCAGAAGGTCGCAAGTCGTAACGTATTCGGACCCGCGCATGGATACGCTCATACATCAAGTAAGTTTTTAAATGATTATATGTCACAGATGCCGCAGTTACATGCCAATCCTGAAAGCCCCCTGCTCGTTTGCCGTTTTTTCATTAAAAAAAATCACAACTCAATGGTCGCCTGCATTGTCGTAGAATTCAGATATTTCTGAGAGCCTTCGGAAGAGTCCGGCCAAGTGAAATACTGTGTGGTAATACCTTTACCACACTTGGTAGTCCAGGAATTGCAATGGTGGCTGAATTTAATCGACAACAGCACCAAAACGTCTTTGCGTAAGCCCTCTTCAATTGCGTTTATGTATCTGCGGAAGCAGATTTTGCTTTCGGCTTTAAATCGGGCGCGATATAAAGAAAAATGTTCATAGTCGGAAGGGCATTTTTATTTTTTATATATTTTTTCTTATTTTTCCCTAATCCATGCCTTATTTTTATTTTTGGATAAATGAATTATTGGACGTGGGAATCATAGAAGAAAGCACGGCGGTTTAGTTAACCGGAGTGGTCCGCGATGTTTTATAATAAAATAAATAGCTTCGTACTGCTAATTCGAATGATAAATGAGAAAGTTTTGAAGTTAAGTCAATTTTGCAAATGTCGTTATTGATATCTACGTAATTAGCTTCAAAAAATGCATGTTAAAGAATAGGCTTACGCGACATTTTACAAATTTGATAATCAAGAAAAATACATAATATATGAAATGGTGGGTGAAAAGTATCTGAGGGCACCAGTTCAATTAAAGGAAGTGAGCACATGTTATCATTAAGAAAAGAATCATTTGTGATACACAAGTCGAGTATATTGCCAGGTCTATTTTTTAATCTATTCAGTTGAGATCCGCCTATGAAAATTAAGTTAGACATATCCTATTTACCGATAGGTGGTAATTCTTTTTCAGAAAACAAAAGCCACTCAATCGACGGTATCTTAAAATCTCCTACAATGTAAAATTTGTCGATATTAGCGTTTAATAAAATATTTTGCGTGGTTTCAAAAATGTCTTATTTATTTATTGCACATCCATTAAGTAACAAAAGGTTTTAGGATGATCAGTAAAACAGTTCTTTATGGACAAATTCGGAGAGAGCAAGATGTATCACATAGGTAATTTAATGAGTGTAGTACTTGTATAAGTAGTTGGTATTTTGAGTAGCTATTTATTTTTATAAGTAACATTTATTAGTTTTAATTTTAGATATTAATTATCAGTAATTTGTTTAATGTATATATGATTTGAGATCATTATGTGTTATCTATAATATCCAAAGTATCTCCAAAATATTCTTTATGTCATAGTATGATTTAGTAAGTAACAAGTCTTTTAATTTTTTTAGGAAAGATTTATTGTTTTTTTCGTCTTTTAATATTTGCGGTAGTTTGTTATTTATCTTGATCGTCATTACATAGGGACTCGTTGAGTATAATTGTAGTGTAGAAGTGGGTTGCATTAGTGTGTCGTAAGTTGTATTGTACAGTAGTAAGTTGAATTTCACTGCGCTTTTCATAAAGCCAAGGATTTTTTCGAACAAATTTACATATTTCATATAAGTATATATAAACTTGGTAAGGTGAGTATATTTAGCTTTGTAAAGGTCGCGATCACAACAAAATACAGCAAAAGAGTTAGCCAGTTTCTGTAAGAACAATAAAACCATAATATTCAGTCAAAGCATTCATAAATAAAGTGTAAAGTTTCGTTCTTAAGCCGTGACAGTTTTGGTAATAGAAGGAGAATTTATCCAAGTTTAACTTAGCCATTTTAAAGAAGTAAATATGTATACGTTACTAATAAGTCTTATAAGTATTTCTTAATTTAAAAAGATAGTAATTTAAAAATTTTTAAGTTGAAATGTTTAAAAACGGTTTACCACGTCATAAGTTATAATATAAGTTTCAGAATAATTTTTTAGAACATTGCACAATAAAGTTTGCAACGCTTAATATTCTTTACAACAGACATCATAATATTCAAATATTTAAGTACATAAAAGTATAGAAAACAGAGGGTAATAGTTGAACGAATACTGCATTCGCCGATCACGAATGCTCGTTATGCAGTAAACAACGCATAATGTAGTGCATGTGCCTGAGACTACATACGTACAAAGTTATGAAATTATTTGAAAAAAAATTAAAGTGATGACAAGACTGATAAGATTATTATCACGCAAGACATAATAAATATTGTTATAAATAAATTTTGTTATAAAACATACTTTATAGTGAACACTGGCAATGTTTACTTTTCACGAACGAGTATATTATCATGTTTGATCCAAATGAATCTAGAAATTTTTTTCCTTGGCTTCTTCTCGAGTCTCACGAAACAACTTTTTTCTGTGCAATGTCAGATGCTCGTTGATATATACGCCGTGGTCCAGTGATGCTCAGCTGCTCCATTATTAGTCCTTTAAGATTGCGGTATGCTGATAGAAAGTTCTCTCGAACAGTTCGGGTGCTTATGATGTTTTTTTGATGTTGACATCCGGAATTACCGTGTGGTACTCGATAAATAGCAACAATGTCATATAAGTCATTAGGTGATATATTATGTGATATATATATTGCGGCAGCAATAATAGACGTTAAGTTTTCATTGCGTTTTTCAGGCAAATTGTTTATTTCAACATTACACTAGTCACAAGCGTGCTTGTTGCCCCATGTTATGTAATTTTTGATTCCAAATGATTAATACTTAATCATATTTTTATCTACCATTGAGCCGACTTTAGATTCAAGATCAGATATTCGAGTCGTTAGGTTTTCAGACGTCTGATGTAAGCTATCATATTTGGCTCCTAAGTATATTTTTTAGAATCCTTGATCTCGGTAAATTTTTTGTGAAAGACGACATCTTGTTTAGAGTTTATAGTTTGTTGTAGCATTTTTAAAGGGTTTGAAGTCGACGGTTTCCGATAAGTAATGTACTCGGGTGATGACTGTTCCGCAAGGAGAGAAGAGTCTTGACAAATCATTGAAACATTACTTACTTCTGTTCCGCATGTTTGCATGTTATCGTTTGCATGCTATTTTTTTTATGTACTCTTTGGATCCATTTCTAATGATAGAGATGAGACGTATGGCCTCTATGGTTCTAATTGATAGTAGCCTTTAACCTAACATTTTCAACACCTGTAGGGTTGCAGTTGCGTTATTACTTTATTATAAAGTGGGCCACGGCTACCTCACTCACCAGACGAAACGCAGAAGAATGACACTTCCACTCAGCGCTGGTCTACTGTGAGGTTGTGGTACTTGCAGCTTCGGCGAACCTGCCCATTTGTGCAACAGCCGAAGCTATCGCGTGGCACTACCACAATAAAATATTTTATTAAATGTTTTTAGTATTTGTTGTTATAGCGGCAACAAAAATGTATCATCTGTGAAAATTTCAACTGTCTAACTATCACGGTTCGTAAGATACAGCCTGGTGACAGACGGATGGGCAGACAGACAGACAGACAGCGGAGTCTTAGTTTTACCCTTGGGGGTACGGAACCCCAAAAACCAATTGAACTGACGAAAAACCTAATGTATTTTTTGCTTACTCAACTCGCTTGCTTTCGTTGTAGCGTGTTTTGTCGAGCATGTAGTGCAAAAGACAAAATACAAAATTTGAAATGGTTCTAATCTATACTGATAAAAAAAAATTGGAGTGTCTGTTTATAATATTAAAATAACCGCTTTTTACTAAATGCATATGGATGTATTCACGGTACATATACCAAAATAACATTTTTTACAATTTTTTTCTGTCTGTCTGTCTGTTTGTTCCGGATAATCTCTGAAACGATTTGGACGGGACTTTCACTGGCAGATAGCTGATGTAATAAGGAGTAACTTACGCTACTTTTATTTTACATTTTTTTTTAATTTAAAATTCCACGCGGACGAAGTCGCGGGCACAGCTAGTTTGAAATAAGATACACTGTCGTACAACTAACTTAAATTTATTAAAATCGTGTCCTTTGACTAAAGCTGTCCAACTACGATGTCTTCTATAGTTTGACTAGACGTTGTAGAAAGTTGATTCTAGGCCCAGTCTCTGCAACTCTTGATTGAGCCAATCAGCGTGCATCTGGACTTTGCCTAGTAACACGCTATCCCCTAAGCAGTGCTGCCGTACCACGCCCGCTAGTGCCATGCCTCCCTGAAATTAAAATTTGCCACATTCAAAGCGCTCATTAGTGTTTTAAATAACTGTCTTTTAAAAATAGCACACAGCATTAGCAGTCCTGCACATTGCAGGACTGCTAATCTACGACTTAGGTGGGTTTATTGGTAGTTACTGTTTTGTCTCACGTTGTTACGGCTGGTTAAAATCAGCTTCAGGTACTAAACCGAACAATTTTCTTCGTGTTATAAAGGCGATAATGACACGAAATGTCTCTATGCAAGGCCAAAAGTTTCGTGTTAAAGATTTCAGCAGCCTTACGTCGCATGGAATCTTTGGAAAGCTGGTAATGAAGAGCTTCCACCTTGAAATAAGAACCATAATACATGTGCAGAAGAACCTATGTTTTATAGAGTTGCCGACAGTGGGTTGACAAATAAAACTGGTTATGATATATATAGATTCGCCCACCTGGCCGTCACTGGTAACGGGGCAGAGGACAGGCGCGCCCACCGCCGCCTGGCACTGGCCGGCCGTTGTGGTGCCGCACGCCACTTCGTTGCCACCATGCGCACCCTTCTTTCTGCAGCCACCATCGCTTACCGATACCGGCGACTGTACACAAAAGTGTGCGTTCAATCTTACGAGTCTGGAGATTTCAGAATTTTCGAATCATTTTCTTGCTAATCAGTGGTGATATTTCCCAGCCTCCCTGGTCTTAGCTGGTATTAGTCCAGGAGGAAACAGTGAAGTGTTTTCAAATCTCAATTAAGGATATTATTAACCATTGTGTAAAGACTAAAACTCAAAATAATTTTACATTTTAACCTTTTTTTTATAAATTTTTCATCGGCCAATTTTGGATTTTAGAACCTTTAAAAATTCATATCTCCAAAAATATTAACATTATCTTAAAAAGTCATAGTATCTTCTTTATTTGTATAAATAACAATTTAAAAAGACATTGTCCCGTTGGAAAATAAGAATTCCTTACAATTGTTTAAACAATTTCTGTTTAAATAATATGGCACCATGCATTTATATCATCAGTAGGGCAATTTAAAAGAGAATCGTATAAAAAAATTGAGGTGGGATAGTTACTGGATTAGTACTCATGCAAGTCATACGCCGATTCCTCCTGGACTATATAGTATAATTATTATCCATTAAATACGCTACGCCCAGAAATAAGACAATAGATTTTACTCACCGTGACAAGTTGTTCTACGATAGAAAATCCGATGGCCAGGCAATTACCTTCCATCGGTTTTCGGAGCTCAACACATGCTCCGTTGTTTCCGCCCATATCCCATTGGACGTTTTCTTTCAGCACCATTAGCGCCAAGTCATTTGCATGTGTACCTTAACAACAAATAAATAAATATTGATGATTCATTATATTGATGGACAATTTTTAAACATTTTTTAAATATTTCATAACCGAAAAAAAAAACATTTTATATTTAACCGAGTTTTTAAGTACCGGCTACCGACGTTTATACAAATTGGGCAACGCACCTGCGACCCATTTGCTGTTGTAGATGTCTATGGGCAGCGATGATTGCTTACTATCAGGTGAACCGCTTGCCCGTTTGCCAACTTATCGCATAGAAAAGCTTAGCTTTCTATTTTATCAAGATGTTAACTAACGTGTACAAAAATTGTTAAATTTTGTTAAACGTTATGTAGGTTAGTTTAAATAGGCTAGATTTTTAATGATTTGATTGTATTAGATAAAGTGTTATTTTAAACTTTTAAGTGCTAATAGAGTCTTTTGTATTTGGTTCTTTTTTTGTTAAAAAACTTTGTATAGATTAAAATTAACTTAAAACAGGTGACAAAACTTGAAGGTGTACACAATATCTGTAATGTATTTTAAGTATGACTATCTACAATTTTTAGGCTTTTGAGAAACCGTCATTTTAGGAGGCTATGTGGATCTAGCTAGCGTTTCGACTCTCAAAAAGTGTTAAATTCATTGACGTTATCATCCACACAGGGAATACAAATGGAATCAGGGAATACAAATTCGCTACTAGTTACAGAAACGTCAAGCTATAATAAAATGTAAAGTACCGACATTATATTTACATTATTGTATTTTAAACAAAGATTCCATCCAGATCACACTTTAATTAACCGTATAATAATAAGATAATACAACCTGCATTATATTGTGTGCAAACCACAATGTTTCGACAGCGACAATGTTATTTGATGGAGTTGAATTTCGGATTCCGATGGAGTTTCCGATTTTCGGATCGGAACGCATGGTTTGGATCCGATTCGATCTTCGAAAAGATCGAATCGGAACCAACCACTTAACATCAGGTGAACCGCCAGGTCGTTTGCCACTTTGTCACATAAAATGAAAATTTAAAGTACAGCATCCTTTAAGGCATTCTGGTTCAACGGTTTAAAAAGTATCAATGGGAGTGAAATCAATTCACCGGTGGAGTATTTGGGGTGCAGGATCTTGTCGACGACCGCGTAGTCCTTGGCCGGGTTGAGGGAGGCGGGCACGCGCGCCCTCACCGCCTCCGCGAGCACGGTGCGCGCACACAGTGGCCGCCGTCAGCACCACGCGGCCCCCCAACAGCGCCCCCCCGCAGTAGAGGCCCGTCTCCGTGCGGTGGCGGCGACTCACATCGCCACCTTCCCTGCGCTCGACATTCCACAATCCTCGATCATTCCATCTGTCGCGTCAGCAGCGACCCATGCCCCCCGCACTCTGCCACCTACCTGTACAGGGCGACGCACCATGTGCATTCTTCGTCGAACACCCTCGAACATGCTGCGTCTAATGGGGAAACATATCAATCTTGAAGATCATAATTACATTAACGATACGAATACGAACGAAAATAACGAATTTTACGTGAATAAATCAATTTTACGGATTTTAATTACTTTTTAATTTATATTTTGTTTCAACTTTATTCTTTTAAATAAACTGAAGTTTGTTAACTATTTGAGTTTGTTACAAACGCTGTCAAGTATTCGGGTACTTTATGTGTAGGTTATAAGATGTGAAGGTCTATTTATTGTCTATTATAAGGTGTATAGATCATTACATAAACTTTCATTTTAGAAAATTAGTCAATGCTCACCTTTCGGCACGGTCGATGTCGGCTTGGGCGGTGGCGTGGGCGTGGGCTTAGGTGACACTACGGGGTTTGTATTGGAATCACCAATGCAGCACCAAAAGCCTACACCACAATTCCTGAGAAATGTAGAAGCCTGTTTTATCGTTTCATTCTTAGTTACTTCGAAAAGCTGGTGCTGCTATTTTATTGTAATCAATACTTACAAGATCGGTTCAGAGGAATCCCTGTAAAAAAGAAGAAAACGGTATTAACATTTGTAATAATGCGTGTAGAGTTGTGATTTTATAATTTTGTAATGCGTATAAAATAGAACTTATGTGAACACGAAGTAGTCTGTATACAAGAAGTATTACTTTAGTGGCGCAAAAAATTAAGAACTAAAATATTTCATCTTGAATACTTTTTTTGAAAACTTCTTGATATTTGACACATTAATAAAGGGAGACTCATTGAGCTTAGTGGCATCTCACTGTGCGCGCGAAAAGTCCCTCAGTATTGGGTTTTGTTGCTGGATATAACTTTAATATTTTAATAAATACCTTGTAGTTAAAATCAAATTCAAAATATTTTTATTCAAATAGACGCTTGCTAATTCGACGTTCGTATGGAACGTTGAATTTTATATAAAAATATACACAATTATATAAGTAAGTTACCACCGGTTCCGAAAGCACTTTCTGTTGAGAAGAAAACTCTAAGAAACTCAACACTTACCCTTTTTAAAAATATCAATTTAGAGTATAACATGGGTACAGGTATAATAGTCTTCTTTTAACCTACGTGAATATCAACGAGATATTTTACGAGCGTCGTCGAGATATTCCGTAATGGTATATGCTTTTACCATAAGTTTTCTCTTAATTTTCCGTTTAAATTGATCAAGTGGCAGATTAACGACCGTTCCCAATATTCAAATCACAGTTAAAGATAGATAGCTTCGACCGTTAGTATTTGGTTATCTATCTTCAGAATCCGTCACAATATGAAAGATAGGTCCTTCTATCTCTAGTAGATAAGCCGCCTATCCGAGCTCTCTTTAAAAGCAATGTTACAAATCATCAGTAACGTCGCAACAATGTTTTGATGATATTTTTGTGTTAATATTATAAAAAGAAAATAATTACATAATAATTTTACTTAAATTGAGTTTATATCGTGGATAAAATTATTATGTAAAGTATAACATTGAGATTATTATATATAGTTTGACATTGACAGTCGATTGATTGAAAATTTATTTGATATTTTGTATTGTTTAAAAATAATATGTGCTACGTAGGTACAATTATGTTTAATAATATTTCTTCTTACTTCTAAATTCATACAGTCATATTTGTATAAGGGTAAAGGTAAATAATTTTGCCGTGATAGCTCAGTGTCCGGGCGCTCGCCTTTGATTCTATTTACTCGAGCAACCTGAGTTCGATCTCCGGTGCCAGCACCAATGAAATTGTAAATTTCAAGTGCTGACTTATCACGTATTCGGCGGTGAAGAAAAACATCGTGAGGAAACCTGCATATTTTCAGAGGATGTCTTTTCCCAGCAGTGGGACATTTATAGGCTGATACTTTTCTTTACTTTTACTGATATATGATGATGATAAGATAAATGCGCACCTGATGTCATTGCCAATGATGTCCCCGCCGTAGGCAATGGTGTGGTTCGCATAACACTGATAGTCTCTGAGACACATACCCCTCTTGTTGTCCCTGAGGCAGCTCGCGTATGAATTATCTGTAAAAGTGGCGTAAATCTTGGTGGTCTTTTGTGATGAGCTGATTATTTTTTTATGGTAAAAGTTGCCAAACGAGCAGACTGTTCACCTGATGGTGAGTGAATACCGCCGACCATGGACTTCTGCTACACCCTTTTTTTTTTTTAAATTTATTTATTTATTAAGTAAACAATACAACATAAAAAATTTTATTCGCCAAATTGTAAAAACAATTTATCGGCGACACAATGCACTCTTACATAATTGTCTCTTAAATAACAAAATAAAATAATAACTAAGCAACAAAAGAAAAAATAAAATAAAAGAATAACTGGAACAATCTTTTGTTGACGTGGGGGAAATGCCTACGCATATCCGCCCTCGCGGGGGCAAGAGCGGGTTATGTCGGACTCGCACCGACTAAAACCCCCACGATGTTAGACCTAGGCGCATATCGGCAGGGTCACAGGAACGCTTTCGCACACTTCCGCGACCCTGCCAGCGCTGGCCGCCTTAGCAGCCCCCTCACGGGGAGCAAGTCCCCTCTCCTCCAGGTAAGGCGCGCTGGAACACTCAGCGCGCCTTCCTAGTCGGCCCCATTTTCACGGCCAACGAAGTCCCCCAAGTTCGCTGACCGGGGGCCAGTAGAGCCAGTGCCAATAAGCAGCAAGCCTCCCAGCCGACATCTGCCACACCCGAGGGTTACAGATGCCTTGACAACCTTTTGAAAATTGGGTTCCGGCTACCTCACTCACCAGACGAAACGCGCAAGTATTTGTCACACTTCCACTTTACTGCTGGTCTTCTGTGAGGTCGTGGTACTTACTCGGACTTTTTTTCAATCATGACTAAAGTAATGTTACGTGTTGGGGGTTTAGATGTTTTCTTTATTGACGCCAACAACAACTTGCACAGCCCACCACTCAATAGCGTTTTAGTCCTTACTACTGTTACAGGTGCGACGACTCTCCCTTTCTGCACCAATTTTACAGTGACACGACTGCTGGTAACCTGCCTCTCGCACCAATCTCCACGTACGCGTCCACTGGTGCAACGATTCACACGCTACTGCACCAACCCACCGCGTACGACTTTACACCACTACTACACTGTTCACTCACTATTTACTTCACTTTTCCACTTTCCTTCTTAATCGAGTTCCTCCACTAACTGCCGTCTAGCGCGCTCCGAGACCGTTTTATAGTCGGAATTACGTTCGTTTTTCAAATAAAGTTATGGAATTCCTACCGTTTCGTTCTTTCAAGCTACACACATATTGGATAATATTTTTTTAATAATTTTAATATTTTTGATTTTTTAATATTTTCTAATATTTTTTTTTGTGAATAATTGTATGTCAACTGTTATGTGTGTCATTATAAATTATATATAATAATAATAAAAATACAATCTATATCAAATTTGCTCCTGCGAAGCATTTATAGCCGACTTTTCTCAAATAAATGCTTGCACGTCTCATGACTGCTCTTCCAGAAGTTGTTGCCAATCTAGCCCATCTTTGTTTTAAAGATGTCAAGGTTTTTGATTTTTCTGAATACCTTTTGTATTCCTTTTTACATTTCGATACCTCGAGCTTGAGGAACATTTGGAGCATTGTTATGTTTCGATATGAATTCGACGCCCATAGATTGCAAATATAAATTTCTGCGTTCATAGACCGTGTACAGATAAATGGTTCGTAAACATTGCCGTTTTCGTCTATAGCTTGCCAAACCAGATACTTCTTAAAAAATTTGGAGTCTGTTTTGTTCATTTCACTTATTCGCTGTAATCCACTTCACCACGACTGGTGGCGTGGAAATATTGCTTCCCAGGAATATCAGAGGTTTTTTGGTAAGCTCGACGGAAACCTCGCTTAGCACGATCTTCTTGGTCTTTCATGTACTTTGGAGCGGACAATTTCACAAAAGCCTTCATCATTTTAATCAAAGTCCACACAGATGTTGAAGGTGCTTCTTTAAAAACCTTTTTTACCTTATCTATGTTTCGATCAGTTGCTATGGTACGTTGCCTTCCCGGAATATTCTGTAAATCAGTCTCTCCTGATTCTTCATACCGTTTAATTATCCTGTACATATTAAAACTTGTAGAAAAAGTACGAAAAGATTGTCGCTGTCGGCATTCGGGGCCTGACGCTTTAGCCACTAAGCTAAACGGCTGGTTGCCACACCGACGAAAATCTTAACGTCTTTTATCTACATTGATATTTAGCATTTGAAGAAATGCTTGGCGCATCTATTGTTATATATAGAAACAATTTCGAATATCGTTTTACAACGATAACTTTGAACGAGAGATGTCGCCATTGTTTTTTAGAAATTTAAAGTTTTTTATAGTGCTAATCTCTGCACTTAAGATTAAACATTAAAACTTGTAGAAAAAGTACGAAAAGATCTTCGCCGTTGTGGGAATCGAACCCTCGTCTTCGGCACGGTTTGGCTTAGTGGCTAAAGCGTCAGGCCGCGAATACCTTATTATTAGCACTATTAAAACCTTTTCCCTTAGCCCTTTCTTGAGAAAAATGTCGAACTGCCTCGGATTTACCATTATTCAGATAGTACTGAATTACTCTTTTTGCAAACGATTCTCGTTCGGTTCGCTTCATGTTAGAAAAGTATCGACAAATTTGCAAAACCACGCGAATTTGACAGATTTGTTACCGGTGGTTACCATTGCAACAGTTATTTTCTGTTTTGAAAACCTTTTTCTTGGCCAATATGAACACTCAGTTTTGTCTCTTTACTTATGGGACACCCCAGTAATTTAAAATGACGTCATATACGTTCATCATATAAGTTCATTTCAAACTGTCATCAACGGATCGTTGACATTTAAGACGCCAACCCAGTAATCATAATATAGGTACAGTAATATACGCAAAATTATATATTTTTTATCCTTGTTGGAAAATTGTGCACGAAACGATTTTGCAGAAACTAGGGATTATGCGCCGGAAGAAGCTGCTCAATAGGTTGATTTGCTGTAACAGAGCCTCAACCAGGGAGAAGTCGGTCGCCAACTATACTTGGATGCTGTATCAAGGGTCAATAGAAGTTGTCGAGAGACCGGTTCGTACTCTAGGATCGTCAAGCGTCATCATCATTCATCATTTCAGCCTTTTTGAGTCCAATGCTGAACATAGGCCTCCCCCACACGTAGTACACATTCATTAATTAGGGGATGGGATTGGCTCCTGAAATACAGGATAACCTAGTTTGGGAATCAAGGCTCCACTAAATCTGTGTGTAAAAGTGTTAAATAAATCACACTTTTTTATTGTTATTATTATTTGCACAGATCGTTACTGTATCTAGTGGGGGATGGTGTATTGTAGGAACATTGTGATGGTCAGTACGAGGTTGCCACCCAAGAAAAAATTGAATGACGGAATAAATCCTACTCTTTGTGCCATTTCAGAATTCGTCTATTCTTCGAATATTAAGTGCTGGGGCTTATTCTTTAATTGGTAAGACAGATTCCGTCAGTCTTCTCTTTCCTTTATAAATATGCAATAAATCGTAAGAGAACAAAAAAATGTTACCTGAGGGATTCACGTTAAACGCCTCAGTGGTGGTTTCTTGGGGGGCGGCTAGTGACACCGTCAGCACCGTCATCAACACCAACACCGCAGGTCTTGCCCCATCAGCCACATTCATTTTACTTGCTTATTGCTTGATTTTATCTGCACATTTGTCAATTTTACGGATTTAAAGAGGTGTACGAAGTAAACTTTTAGGTATTTGGTTGGTGAAGCAGTGCACACCGTGTAAATTTGGCCGAGGCGACACGCGAAGTTCATTATCTATTAGTTGCGGGCCGTGGGATGCTCTCTCTACTCAGACATTCGTTAACATCTTACATGAGACTATGAAAAGTTTTTATTTTTGTATTTTTACAGATATAGTAATGAAAAAACAAATATACAAGTATTATAAAGTAACCAACAATTTAAAAACAACAAGTTCCTCTTCTTGTTAATCATTACTATCCATAAAAGTAAAAAAGTAAAGTTACAGCCTATACATGTCCCACTGCTGGGCAAAGGCCTCCTCTAAAGAGAGGGTATCAGGGCATAGTCCACCACGCAGTCCGCCAATCCGCAGTGGGGCCGCCACTGCGGATTGGCGGACTTCACATATCTTCGAAATATATTTTTTTTGTTATTATTTCGAAAATATGCAAGTTAAAAACTTCATTGGTGCCGGCACCGGCGATCGAACTCAGGTTGCTCGAGTATATTGAATTAAAGGCGAGCGCCCGGACACTGAGCTATCACGGCTCACCATACTATACATACTTTATTAATATTATAAATGCGAAAGTAACTCTGTATGTCTGTCTGGCTTTCACTCAAAAATTACTGAACCGATTTAAAAGAAATTGAATTGGTAAACAGATAGTCTAGAGCCTGAGAAAGGACATCCATTTTAAAAAAAATGTTGTAAAAAAATATAAAGTTCAACAAAGCCGCGGGTGAAAAGCTAGTTTTGAATAAAACAAAGTCGTCCCGCAGTCTGTCTGTCCGTACGAATGCCGTATGCCATCCTCTAAATTTTGATGTGAGGGTATCAGGGTTTATAGTCCAATACATTTATAATGCAGTCCTATTAAATTTAGCCAATCCGCTTACATTGCAAACGCTCGCTGAACCCTACGAGCAAGATGAAAATAATGTTCTACGTTATTATCTTATCCTTTAAACGAGCAATATATATATATATATATATATATATATATATATATATATATATATATATAATCGGAATCTTGGAAACTGTTATAATAGGTCGGTCGGTAATCGGGCGGCCCCAAAACAGACGGCCGTGGTTTCGCGTCACGATCATTTACACATTTATTTTTTTACTTTTTTTTCGATTCCAGATCATTGCTTTCTTTATTTTTAATTTTTTGTCGATTTTTTATTTTGTTTTTTTTTTTCCCTTTTTTTTAAAGTTCTTTCTTTTGTGAAAACATCAGTTCATATTTTCTTATTATTACGTCGTAAGATCGAAAAATATTATGCATATTTCATTACTCAGTAATTTGTATCTAAATGTAATTTCCAAAATACACGATTTACCAAAAAAAAAACAAACCGAGCAAAGCTCGGTCCTCCGGGTACTACAACTTAAAAAGGTCTACAAAAAAGTCCGCGAGGGTATATGTCTACCTCTTAAGGATAACCCACAATAACATTTTTGTGCTTTTTTTTTACGAGAAATAATGGCTTATTAACGAAGCGATTTTAAGCAATACAGCATTAATCCTCATGCATGACCCTTTAAAACTTTAAAGCATGTAATTTAAATGAATATTTTCGAAGATATTACAGATTTAAAATGCAGGGAGTTAGCAGTTGCGGCGCTACCGGTACCTACCGCCACGATCGCACGCGTTTATCCGCGAGGAAAATTATGACTTAAAAACCGGCTAAGTGCGAGTCGGACTCTCGAACGAATGATTCCGAACCATTATCTATAAAACAGCAAAAAAATCATGTCTGTTGTATGGGAGCTCCACTTAATATATTTTCATATTGTTTTTTAAGGCCCATTTACACGGTGCCAGTTTCTTGCCTGTTGTATACAATTAAATTGAAGCAATAAATGAGTTGCATGGTCTAAACAAGAAATTGTCTAAACAATTATTGCGCGCAATTTATTGCATTCAATTATTGCTCTTGTATGTTCAACAAAATGGCATCGTGTAAATGGGCCTTTAGTATTTGTTGTTATAGCGGCAACAGAAATACATTATCTGTGAAAATTTCATTGCCTGGTGACAGACAGATAGACAGACAGACAGCGGAGTTTTAATAATAGGGTCCCGTTTTACCCTTTAGATATGGAACCCAAATAAAAACGTGCTTTCCAGCGTGAATATGTTTTATAAATTGTATGTTCTTACTTTAGTCGGTATTAGGTTAATTTTTAAACTGAACTTATAGTAACTACATAAGGTTAGATATAAGATTAGATTAAAACCATAATTTATCAATTGTATTTCGTCTATTAAGATCTTGGTTAGAATTTAGAATTAAGGAAATTTAGTATTAGGGCAAGTCTTTTTAATTTTCGAAAATCGTAGTTTAAGGTAAGGTTATTTAAGTTCAAAAAGAGAATTGAATAGAATACCTTATAGAATAATCTTGTGTTGTTGGCTATGTTATGATGAAGTTACTTCTGTACTCGAATACAAAATCCAATGCAGTCTGTTAATAGCAGAAACAGATGACAGAAAATCTTCCTCATGTTATCAAAAAATTTATGAGAAGAAATAAAGTGTTATAAAAATGATTTGATGATGCATTAACTGTGGTAGGAGCACGCTACAGTGTTCACTGTTGCAGGAATGTCCAGATCCGTCAGGGGAAGTACCACAACCTCACAGAACACCAGCGTAAAGTGGAAGTGTTTATACTTCCACGTTTCGTCTGGTGAGTAAGGTAACCGGGGCCTTCATTATTAAAAGGTGGCAATACATCTACAACCCTACGGGTGTTGCAAATATCCATGAGCGGCGGTTATCGTTTAACCAGTTCGCATGCCACCATCAAACATAAAAAAATTAACACACCCAAAAAATATTCGCCTAAAAAAGGCTTAATATAAAATCTTAAAATCATTTAACATGAAATTAATATAACATAGCGCTAACAGTGAGTAATTATAACGTAATACGTCGCCTATTATTCATATTGAAAATGATCTTTTTTGAATTGACTTAGTAAATTATATAGAGCCGTGATAGCTCAGTGTCCGGGCGCTCGCCTTTAATTCAATATACTCGAGCAACCTGAGTTCGATCCCCGGTGCCGGCACCAATGAAGTTTTTAACTTTAAGTGCTGACTTATCACGTGCTCCGCGGTGAAGGAAAACATCGTGAGGAAACCTGCATATTTTCGAAATAATAACAAAAAAAATATATATTTCGAAGATATGTGAAGTCCGCCAATCCGCAGTGGGGCCGCGTGGTGGACTATGCCCTGATACCCTCTCTTTAGAGGAGGCCTTTGCCCAGCAGTGGGACATGTATAGGCTGTTACTTTAGTAAATTATAATTAAAATTTACATTTATCGCTTCATTGGAATTTCGATGAATATCTGAATTTTTTGTATATTTTTGACTAGTTATGATAGCTTAGGTTTTAACATCTTATGTTTTGGTGGCCCTATCAACTTGAGTTAACGATAGACATTCATATCAGTCTTTTTGGGAAATCAATATATAATAATTCGATGCCGTGCGGAGCTGTGTAGAGATTTATAAACAACACACTGGCTGACCTAGAAGACTGTGTTCAATTAAAGCAAGCGAGCGAGTCGGTAGTCGGTACTCACTTGGAGGGCTTTGCTGTTGCGCAGTTCCGTGTTTGCGAGGGGAGCGAGCACACGATGCGAGCAGCAGGGACCAGCGCCCGCCCACTGCTAATCCTTGGCACGGCCTTGGCGCGGCTTGAACGGCGCTCGTTGCGTCGCACTCGCCAGTCGTCACTACTAATATTCTTGAGGCTGACTTTGAAATAATAAACCTTTTCCGGTTATCGCTCTGACCCCAAGAATATGTTGCCAATGAATACTTATATTTATAAATGTCGGAATACGTTACACTTGTTACATTTTAATGAATGATGTGATTAACAATCGATAAAATTCAACACACGTATCAGTGGTAATACCACTTATAACAATTATAAATTATTTGTATTAATTTGAGTTCTAGATGTGTTCGCGGAATCACTTTACGCGTGCGTCAAGCGAGTTCACAATCAAAGGTCGTGGCCGGCGAGCAGAGCCCCCCGCCTCTCCCACCTCACACCGCTTCACGACGCCCCGAACCGACCGGCATTGATATCATCGCTGCACCGCAAATAATAAGAGAATAATTAATTTTGCAAAGGAATCTTCTAAGTATAACTGACATTTTGTTTCAAATCACAAAACTTGTAATGGCAACATTGGCGCCGTGTTAAGGCACAAGTTCTCATTGGACTTTGCTTTACTAAAACACAGTTATAATAATTATGTATGTATTTTGTGGAGTAGGTATTCACAATATTATCTTTGATATTGCAGAGACGAGGCATGTCTATAAATTTTTAAAGATCATTTATTTATACTACTCGAATTATGTTCGCTTAGAATACATTTTATTTCAACTACTGACTTAATACAAACTATTGTATTCCTTGATTAAGTTTTTATAACAGTTATGGACTGGCAAGCGATAATCTGGATATATAATATATTATATAAATGTATACCTTTTAGTTTATGTAAACTTTACACTCGCAACGTTTAAGAAAATAACTTTACTAAAATGTTGCGCGTATCATGTTGCGTTATCACAGTTCTTAAAAAACCGTGCTCCGGTTTTCTCAAGACGCAAGTAAATGGCCCTGACAGATTGCTTGTTTGAACTTGAATAACGTTAAAATGCTATTGCTCATTTAAATAATAAATAATAAGAATACATAAGAAATCTGAACAAAAATATCAATTTATCACGTATCATACGTCCTTGCTGCGGATAATGCGGTAATAATAATAATAATAAGCCTGTTTATTTCCGATTTACAGACTATCATAAGATGCATTTTAGAAATGCTCAATGTTAAAGTTTACAGTTATACATAATAAAATTGTTTTAAATATGTGATAAATCAAATTAATAGGTTAATCAATTAATATATGTTTTTTTTTTCCAGAGTCCCTTGCATTCTTTCTGCATTGGCTTCCCGCTATAGCTTTTATATCTTCTATCCACCTTTTTCTGGATGCCCTCTTCCTCTTTTTCTTGTTGGTTCTTCCCACGTAGTTTCCTCTAGTGTCCATCTTTTTTCTGTGCATCTTCCTATATGTCCTTTCTGTATGTGTGAGGATAATGCGGTAACGTATTAATAATTCATTTTAATATATTTTTTTTCATTTTTAAAAAACATTGCCTTTACTTTACGATATCATTATACTATGTTGTAAGGACGTTTCACAAACATCAATATCACGCAGACAAACACCCAGATGCGAAACAAGTATTTGTGGGTTGTGGGTTACACAAACAGTTGTCCCAGAGGCGGATTAAGGCGCTGTATGCAGTAAAAATAGGTTTCACAAAAGATTTTTTAGCAAAATCTACACATTTTATAGCAGCAAAAAAAAAATGTTAATCTTGATCGTACATTCTAATGGAACATTGTTTCGAAAACATATTCTCGATATATTTTCTCGATAGAAAAAAATCATGAAACTACCACTAAAAGAGAATTTCAAATCCAAAAATGAACGTAATACATCAACAAATCGTAATGAAATTAATATCAGTGGTGTAGAATATATTAATAAAAAGGATTGTTGTTTTAATTTGTTGATTGAAGTAAGACATTTGTAAATATTAATTTAATTCATTAAAATTAATTCGAACGCGACGGCCAAAACACCGCGCCATCGCCGCGTTGTTTCGGCTCTCTTCCAACTCCACACGTTGAACAGAGAGCGCTGAGCATAGAGTAACTTATTATAGGGGTAACTTATTAAGGCGCTGAGGCGCCTTGCTAGATGGATCTATGCCGTTCACCGTCCGCTCACCGTTACGAAATATGTTTCGTATTTATTTATTATTGAGAGTTTTAATATTATTAGACCTTCCATAACACGAAACTAAAAAATATCTATTCACATATTTCGTATTTTAAATTATTTGTTATGTATTAACAGTTGTTAATTAATTTATTTAAAGCATAACTTCAATATCTTATCTCGTGATTGGTCTATCAGTGCTATACATACAGTGTATAGGACGATCATTTTTTAAATGGGCTCAAATACCGAAATTTTTTGTTTTACTTATTGTTGATTCTCTTATTTGGAAGTATTTCTTACTTACCATTTAATTTTTGTTATTTTTTTTATTTTCATAAATAATGACAACGAAATATTATTGTATTTGTTCAAAGTTGAAACAGTTGGAGAACAATCTATCAGTAAATAAACCAACTTTTCGTATTAAAATTTTTTAACTTCATTTATTTTTTTATTAAAATATTTAATTTTTCACCCTAAAACGAAATATACACGAAAAATAATCGTTTTAAATATTTTTTAATTAATTTGTTTATTTCCCTAATTGAGCCATTTTATAAAATAAAAACAAAATAATTAGTTGGCTAAAAAATTAAAAGTGAAAATAATATAAAAAATACAACTCCACTCGATGAGGGTTTGAACTAGAGACTACAGCAATGGTTTACCGTTGTGTATGACGCTCGGACCAACAAGCTACGTGAGGTCTGCGCAAAGTGACAAAATTTCGATTCTTGTTATAATTGCTGTCATTTATCGATACAAATAAAGATTTTATCGATAGTTTTTTAAATTTCATTTTAGTTGAGAAAGTAATATAACATAGTAAATCGTGAACATTTAAGGGGTAAATTAAAATTCGCGACAATAAATGAACACAAGTCTAACGCTACTTGTCAATAATCATAAAAAATATTAACATTAAACAAAATCCATAATAAAAAAAAATATTTTTTAAAGAAACTAATTAAGTAAAAAAGAAACAAAATTTGTAACATCCTATACAACTCGCCCGGTCGGTCGGTCGGTCAGTCGGTCGGTCGGTCGGAGGTCAGGGCCCTTTTTAGCTCTTTTGGGTTGTTCTTTTAACAAGGATTTGAGTACACTTTCCTTAAACTTATTACATTTCACCTTGTCCTTTATCTACTTACATAATTACTACGTTTGATACAGTTTTACAGAACTACTACTTACTATTACTACTTAATTACTTTACTTGTTCCTTAGTCATGTTTTACTTTTATTGTATTACTACTTACATTACTTTATTTATTTATACCTTACTGTACGTTTACTACAATTTTATAACACTACTGCTTGCTGTTTAAATAATATTACGTTTCTTAACGGTACATTTTACTTATATTATATTACTACTACACAATGCTTTATTACTTTATACTTTACTACTCATATTGCTAGATTTTTACAAAAAAACTACTGCTCGCTACCTTTCTTTATATTGCATTTACTTATGTTATATTTCTTCTTTACAATGCTTTGTTTCTTTATACAGTACTACTTACTATTTCATTGTGCTTATGTTTCTATATTACCTTATGTATCTATCGTTATTTCTATTTTTATTTCTAGCCTATTCTTGGTCTTATGTGTTTCCTTCCAACAGTCTATCAATTGTCGTTGTTTCCATTTGCCTCTTACCAGTATCCAACTTGGATTTTACTGTATCTCTTAAACTAATTATTTTGACTTTTTTATGGTATTGAGATTCATACACTTAAGTATCAAGCTCAATATCCCTGATTTACTTGTTTCTTTGATTTACTCTTTTGGTTATTTGTTTTACAAAATCTAATAACTTTTTCCTGTTTTCGTTATCCCTTATTATATTGTGTATGTTTTCTTTAGTAATTTTTATTCTTATTTCCAGTTCTAGGTCGTTCCTCGCACTTCCATACATCGGGCACTCGGTCATTATATGTGAAACATCCTCATTTTTAAGTGGGTCGCAGGGGCATGATGGACTTTCCCTGATCTTAAACCTGTGCAAGTACTCTGCAAACCCGCCGTGACCTGTTAGTATTTGCGTGGTTATTTGGTCGATTTCCATTTTCTTAATTATAGGATAGGCTTCAATAGCGTCCGGGAAAAACATCTTAGTGGTGGACGCCGTTTCTTCTTGCTTCTTGTATGTTTTGGGCTATGTCTCCAGAGAAGATCAGGACGATGTCGTCCGCGAACGCTTGGCAATGTTCACCCATCCTTAGTATGTCCTGCAGTAAGGGATCCAGCAGAAGGTTCCACAGTGTTGGTCCACCAATTGACCCCTGTACGCACCCCTTGGTCGTGTGCTTCCGGTATTCGGCTCCAGCATACCTAACGCGTACTGATCTATCCTCAAAATAGTTATCAATTAGTCGCCTCAGGTTTACTGGGCATCCGGTCTCTGCCAGTCTGCAACGCATGGCTGGCCACCATGCGTTATCGAAGGCTCCCTCTATGTCTAACGATACTAGCAGTATAATTTTCCGATTTTTCAATTGGTCTCTTATACGCTGCATCATATCATAGAGGGAGTCCTCAGCACTACGCTGTGGCAAGAAACCGTATTGGTTTTTGCTGATGGCCGGTGTAGTGTGCCATCTAATCCTTCTAATCGTCATTTTTTCAAGGATTTTTCCCAGAACCGGCAGTAAACCTATTGGTCGATATGCTTTGGGGTGCGCATAGTTGTCCTTCCCGGGCTTACGAAGTGCCACCACTACTGCTTCCTTCCACCGTTTAGGGAAGCAAGCCAGCTGAAGGCACTTGTTTGCGAGAGCCAGGAAGATATCTGTGTTTAGAGTGATGGCTGCTCTGCATATGTCTGCTGTTAGTCCGTCAGCTCCAGGTGCCTTTTTTGGATTAAAGCTTGATGCGGCCCATAGGAGTTAGTCCTTGGTGAACGGGGGATCGCATGGTTCACCATGCAACCCCTGGTTGACCATGTTTGCTCTTGCTCTTACTTTACTTTGGTCCGCATCGTCCTCTTCCTTCCGATCTTCGGGAAAGAAGGCTTTCGCAAGGATCCTGGCTGACTCCATGTTACCCACGTTCTTGCCGTCGCAGACTAATGGGATTTCCTCTGCTCTTGCCTCAGTCCTGCCTATCACTCGATAGATCCCGTCCCACATGGTCTCCCTTTTTTGTTTACTGCAGAAATCCTTCCAGCTGGAAGTCTGGGCGTTCTTCATCTCCTGGAGGTATTCTACTTTCGCGTCTTGGTATTGTTTTAGTACCCACTCGCGTCTTGTTGGGGCGGCATATGCTATTCGGCGTCTCCTTCTTCCCACTTCCTTTTTTAGTTCGCTTAATTTGTCGGACCACCAGGGCAATCCCACTCGCCTCTTCGAACCCATCTCCGGCAGGGTGTTTTTGCAGACCTCCAATATTGTATCTGTGTATTTGTTGATAATGTTTTCTAGGTTTGTTTGATCGGTAATTTTGTCTATTTCTTCCTTATTGATATTGTTGCTGTTCCAAGTCTGGGCTAGTTTACTACGGAATTCCGCCCAGTTTGCCTTTTTTGTATTAAATATTCTAGTTGTTCTTTTGGTGTCCATCCCAACAGCCCTGCACAGTCGGAGGTCGAGTAGGATCGCTCTGTGGTCGGAGCTGGTTAGATCGGGTGAGAGTTTCCAGCTTGCCACCTTCCCCAGCAGACTAGTTGAGCAGGTAGTGACGTCCACGCTACTTGAGTAGCGAACACCTCCTCTGTAGGTATCGAAAGTTGGCTCGGACCCCCTGTTCAAGATGTGTAGCTCCATCACGTCGAGTGCGGCAGCTAACTCGATCCCCCTGCGGTTTGACTCCCGACTGCCCCACCAAGTGTTCCAAGCGTTCATATCTCCGCCGAATACCACATCACCCACGCGTAACCCTTCCACTGCCCTTGTCATCTGGTTCAGGAGCGGTTCTAGAGGCTTGTCTCCCTCTAGGTATACGGACACCACCCCTATCTCCCAGGCCCCGGTTCTCAACTTTGCCACAGCTACGTTTTCAGTGGTGAGATCCGGGTACTGGGAGACATTGATGTCGTCGTCAAAAAGCATAATGGCGGCCTTTACTACTTTTCCAGTTGTTGTGTCTCCACTCCATTGTACTGTTCTGGTCCCACGGTAGTGCTTAATTTTGCCGGTATTGCCGATGTACGGCTCCTGAACCATGGCAAGGGTTATCTTCTTATTTGCCGCCTCTGTTATTAGTTCGGCCGTAGCTAGTTCACTTCTTTGGAGATTCGCTTGGACGATGCGGTACCCGCTGGTGTCGGC